CATTAGAATTGCCTCTTCGTTATGAAATTAGACAAGGATATTTTCCGGATTTTATCGATGTCCTGGTAATAAATTATTGTCGCTCATAAACCTCAAACTTATTGCCAGAAAACATCCATAAAATGTCGCGTTCTCTTCTTTAGTAAGATCTATCCTTTGATTGATAGCTTTGTTACGTCGCGATAAACTTGGTTCCGTCTTGTGCTTGTGGTTTGCGAAACAAGTTCTTATTGTTTCATTGCTTTTGGATACGGTATATCCATATTCTTGCATCCTCGAAAACGATGCTCCATTTTTCATGCGATCGATCTCTTAGAATAAAAAAGAATTTGAATCACCTAATTTAGATCTTTTTGCGTATCTTATTACGAACAGTTAAAGTTAAAGATTCAGTTAAATAAGAATTATTCGATGAATGCAAAAGACTGGATATTTATGGTTATGTTGGATTTATGGTTGTTAATTGCTACAAAAATATACTGATATTTTTAGTTAACTTTAATCATAAAGAATGACTTAACCATTGCTAACTAGAATGGGGTGCATTTAAAAATTCGAAATCTTTCAGAGAAAACATATTGACATTTTTATAATTTTTTAAAAAAAATAAATGAATACTTTCCAGTTAATTTTAATCATGAAAATACCGTTCAACACCGCTAATGGGAATTGGATATATTTAAAATTTTGAAGTGAAAAAAGCGCTAGATAATTATTTCCATTTTTTGTTTTGCTTTTATTTCTACAAAAAAATGTTAACTTTTTCTAATTACAGTGAATCAAATTATTTTCTAACAGCGATAATTTTTTGGTTTTATTTGCAAATATCAGTTACTAAATACTAACGAAATGACTTTCTTTTTCTTTCATATACATTACTGATCATCTTTTTTTAAAAACTTGCTTGTTTTGAAAAGCGTTTTTCAAAATGTTTTTAATAGGAAACATAATTTACTTAAAAGGTTTTGAAAATGAACTTGCATAAGTATTCGGACACTTTGAACAAACAGCTTATATTTGATAAAAGCCTGAAAATAATGAGGAATTTAATATCTCAATCGGATAGTCTTTAGCTAACATTATATTTGTCATCCGTTGTGGCATGGATTCAGTTCATTTTTTCGGATGAAAATGTTCTATTCCTCCATAAGAACTTCTTTTAGGAAGAGGCTTTAAAGAAATGTCATGTTTCCTTATTCCTTTCTCCAACTCACTCCATAGATACTTAATAGAATTTAAGTCCGAACATAAATGCATTTTACATTCCACGTTTTCTTGCAAATACTTCCATGTTTTCGTGTCGTAAATGTATACTGACCCATATTATTTTCTATAAAAGCCAGTTTTTCTATCCCAGGCATCCCTAAACCATTATGCCTCCTCCTCTGCTTAATAGTAGGCAATAGGTTTTCCGGATTCCGTTTTTCATAAGGCTTTCTTTATACAGAATTTCGTCCTTCTACCCAAATATATTAACTTTTGACTCTTCTTCAAATGTAACATTATAGCAATATGCTAAATCTTTGCTTACGATGGAGTTTCCAAACGCTATATATATTTCCATTATTTTCTTGTTGAAGAATTTCTTTCTCTGACCGTTGTATCGTGTATGCTCTAATGACCTTTCTAACAGTTTCAGGATTGAATTATATTGCAAACCGTTCTTCTAAACCTCCTGCAAGTTTTACAGCACTAATGTTTTAGCGCTGTTAAATTTTTCACAAGATAAATCTTATTTATCTTTATTTTTATTTATCTTTCATAATATAAATCCGATTCTTTGGTGTTAGTTTGGAATGCGGTCTAGATGTCAGTACATTTTCAATAGTTCCCCGCAGTTTTCATCCTTTCCTTACATTAAGATATTTTTAGATATTACGAATACTTTTGCCATCTTTAAAATGATAAATAGTTAAATTTCTAACAGAAACTGCCGTTAATTTATAGCTTCTTGCCATGTTCATTTCAGATATGGAACTGTTGCTATATTTTGCTAAATAAGTAATAATTTCCAAATGCAGGCAACAATTCCTGTAATCTATTTTCATTTCAAACAAAACATTAAGACAAGAAATGTGATCTTCAGAAATATTACGAATTATTATGTAGATTAGCACTTTTTGAATATATTATTTTATTGCGTAAAATATTTTTATGATATTTATTTTGAATCAAACAAGACTTAAAAATGCAGAAAAAATAAATAAAAAAATCTGAAAGCTTTCAGATTTTACATTACGCCAAAGGGGCATTTTTTTAACGTTTCATGTATTACCTTTATTTATAAATACCATGTTCTTTTCACTTTTCACTAAACTTCTTAGTAAGATGGCTTACAAAACACCTTTTTGGCATTTTATTATTAATGTTTTATGTGTTAACTTTATTTATTAAATATCATGTTCTTTGCATTTACGCTACATAAAATTCATTTCAACAGCAATATCAGAAAATAATTTAAAAAGAGCATATCTTTAGAATTTCCGATACACCTTCTCGCGCGCTGGAGATAAAAAGGTTTTTTTTCGTACAGTGTTGCCATTGTTCGCTTTGAAATCGTTGAGTTTGTTAATCACAAATTCGTTAAAATGTAAAAAAATATTAGATAATAATAAAACAAATCCCAAATTCCAAACATGGATTTCCAGATGCTCATCTTCGAGTGGAGAAATACTTTATTTAAAATTTCATGTCTCTAGGTACCGTTGTGTTTTTACAATGCCAGAAACATGCATACATTCTTGCAGATGCTTCATTATCTAATTTCTTTAAATATAATGCAGGGCTCAAATATTTGGTGGCAACAATTTGAAAAGGAAAACGCCGTTTTATAGTGGACGACGCAAAATGTCAAAAGGAAATCAATAGCCTTTCTGGGCAAATTGAATCTTTGAGTTATTAATACATTAGAAAAATTTGAATTTAGTACAAGATCTGTGCAAATGCATTTCAAATATACAAGTGCCCAAAAACAAATGTGAGTTACTATAATTTTAATCATGAAAATGAGGCTTAAGTGCCAAATATCAGATAAGTTCAAAAATTCGAAGGAAAATTGGCGTTGGTTGCGAGTTGTCGTTTTTTTTTTTTTTTTTTTTTTTTTTTCCTACAAAGATTTTTACAAACCTACAAAGATTTTTACAAATTATTACCTCCTTTTTTACAAAGGTACTGCTAGGAAGATATATATTTTCTAGCTAATTTTAGTCATGAAATTCCAAAAATGCAGCTAAATTTTTATTGAAAATTAAATGCTATGAAATGCATTGCAGAATTCTACAGAGCACGATTAAACAGAGTCTTTCTTTTCTTAGTCCAGCTACAGATACTGTATGTGTATGAATACATACTTAAATAAACTTACATACACATATATATAAGCAGCCAAACTACTACTTAGCCAAAAATACCTAACTCTTACTTTTATAAGTGTTTGTCTGGATATGAAGAAATTAAAGAAAGTAATTAAATGCAATCAACTTGCAATTTTATATTAAATGAAAAATAGTAGAGAAATTAAAGAGAAAGTTAAATTTTATTCTGTATGAAATATTTTGAACTGAATTATAGTTTGAAGCAATTCCAAACATATGAGAACTTTCCTCTAGTAGACAAAATCTTTATTAAAATATCATAAGCAATCGCTTATTTTTAAAACACTAAACTTTGTGATAAGATAAAAGGAAATTTTTAAATTAATAGAAAGTTTAAAACTTTCGATTCTTCCTGCCTAAATATAAATATTAATAACAATTTATGTATACCTGAAGACTTGTTTACATGGAAAACAATTCCTTTTTATGTAAGTTTGATCACTTTACAGTTTTGTAACCTTTATTTTTTGCAGCAAATAGCAGTGAAATAATCAAAAACATGTCAAAATTCCTAAATGGCGCAAAATTTAATTCTAAACTTCAATGAATTCCATTTCAGTAGTCCAATATAAACTCCAAACTCTTCTTAGTATGATTTAATTATTAAAATTGCATAGAATTTAGAAAAAATTTAGACTTTCACCGTAAAGTATCTGATTTATAATTTATAAATAAAATAGTGTTGCCATTAGATACTGTAATTGTCATGATTATAACGAATGGTACATTCTCATGTAATAAATTATAAGTTAAATAATATGGTTTAACTAACAAGTAGATAAAGTTAGCAATTCTTTTTTAATATCTATTTCATCTTATGAAAACCAATGGTTATCTGAATACAAATTTAATCATTTAATTAGGAAACGATAATATATCTTTCATAATAGTTTTACAGAAATTTAGAGGAAAAGTAAGCAATATTTTTTGTGCTTTTTAGGAGTAATAAAAATAATATTACGGTCTTCAAAACTTTTGCTTTACATTAAGTAATTCACTATTTTATATTTAATTTTAAGCACGAAATAATATTAAGGAAATCTAAATTTTCAATTTTTAATATTTAATCAATTTCGATAATATTTCAGAAAACTATAAATACATGATTTATAGCTATTATTTCCATGCAGCATACAAAGGCATACATATATATAAAGAAAACGTAATAAATATTCTTAATCGCCCGCTTCTCCAAGTATCATATCTTAAATATAAATATTGCTAAAAACTGCCTATTTGAATTGTACTCAAGAAATGAGAAAAAAATTTTAAAACAGAATATATAAATAAAAAACTTGATAATTGAAATACGTTTTATCCGTTCTGTGATTTCTCGAACCTTCATTCAACAAAATTTATAACAACAAAATTTTTATTATTTCATTCAAAATGTAAGTTAAATTTTAATGGAAAAACTTCATAATGTTAAATACGCGAGAAATAATAAATTGTTATAAAACATATCAATTTAAACATGTTTGGGCTGAAAAAGTAATTTGTAATTTCATCATTCACTTCTGAATAAAAACATTTATTTTTGACAGATTTATTCTTTCTGTGTGTTTAACTCATATTTTTACCGGTATTTAAAGGCAAAACATACAATTCGAAAATATTCCTGCTTACCATGGGATTTTGTTGATGTGCACTTTTTCCGACCTAGGTATTTCCGATTTTGTTCTCCAACACTGCTGTTTTTATTTTGAAAAGCCCGCGCTGGTATGGGTGACACTTAATCGAAGAGTTTCGGTCATAACCACATTTCGAAGAAAGAAATCCAAATGTTCTAAAAACTACAGAAAAATTCCAGCACCTTATTGAATTCTGAAATTAATTCTAAATAGAACTTAGCCACCGTCTTTGTTTTAACCCGTCACCGAAATCGGACGTGCACGGCCATATTGAAGGCAAGTTTCGTTTTGCGGTACGAACAAACTGCTGGAGCGGAGTTGTGCTGCTCGTCGGCTGACCTCCTTTTTCGACGACGGAATTATCGGTGGCCGTTAGAACAAATGAAATAAAGAAAGATGAAAAAAAGTCCTACTTCGCGCGTAGAGGAACCAATCGCAAGGAACCGAACGATATTCCCGCCTGGTGCGTTTGATCGAGGGTGGATTGTTGCGCGTTGTTTTTTTTTACTATTCCTTCTTCGCCTATTTATTGTGTAATTTATGTTATCCATAGGTTGCGTTCGTGCATCGTAACCGATGAGCTATGGCGGTGATACTCTCTTCCTCGTACTTGTCGTAATTTTTAATCCAGGGAAAATTGTTCACAAATTTTGACATGAGGAAAGTTTGTCCCAGATTTTTCAATAATATACATTCGATTGAGATGATATATTTCTCAAATTCATGGCTAATGCAAGTCATGAACTTGGTAAGTTCATAAACAAGATGATGCGTCCATCAAGATGCTCTAGAGTATCAGAACTTCTGAATAAAAGGAAGATGCTTACATTATTTTCATGGCCACTGCTTTTTACCGTTCCTCTGCTTCCTGTCCACGAGCTATGAGATTTTCAACCATTGGGCTCTTTGTCATTGTGTAGATACTATTATGCCTTTCAGAGCAGGAAACATAAACTTCAGCGATGCCCTCGTCGGAATTCAGACTCCGGATGTTCTGAATGCTAGCTAGATCTGCTACCACTTGTGTTAATAAAGCATGCTATGAGAAAGGCGAGATTTTCTTAGATTCTCCTCCACTTACAAGTGTACTGGGGAGCGTTTAGTTTATTTCATTATGGCAAAGCCTTCGAGGGCTATCTGCATAATGTTTTCGTGTAGGACTGTCTAAAGGAAACTGCCTCGTACCCACGTTACACATGGAGAAACCACGAAAACGTCCACGCAGCCAGCCCATTCGTGGGATTCGAACCTCGGACCGAACTACCAATGTTCAGCGACATTACCGCTCAGCAGCTAGTAGGCGACTGGGGAGGAGAGATAAGATCCAGTTTCCAAATGCAGGGTGATGACGAATTCCCGATACAGAACTTAAGTTATGCGCCACTGTTAAGCTTTTCAAAACTACAAATTGCGATAAATCAGCTATGCCTTTGTCAGGATCTGAATTTAAGATCTTCCCATTGCTAATCTTTAATATTTCAACCCGAAAAGGAGTTTCTGACATTTTCGATATGCTGCATTCTCAAACAGTATGTAACTCTTCAAAATTGAGCGTAAAAAACACTAATCATAGAATAAAATATTAATGTGCTATAAATCGGCAGATAAATTATTATTATAAAAAATTAGAGGCAGATACTGAAAATTCAACATTATTTGCTATGTACGAAATGAAATATGCTAAAAATTAACAAAACATTTACTAAAGACAAAACCTGCTATTTAAATTAAATGCATCAGATACATACGTCAGATACAAGATGCATGCAGCAGAGTAGCCTTCTTCAATTTTGGACAGAAATTATTTCAGAACAAAACTACGAATCATAGATATCAAGTTATAGATGGGAAAAAAATATAGGGCGTGTCATTACCACGAAATGAAATGAAAGCCTCGCAGTGTGCTTTCAAGGAATCAATAATTCCATGAATTACTTCTAGTTATATGTCCACTTATTCTTCTAGGACGGTCAAAATGATCTTCTTAAGGCTGCTGGGATAGCTTATTACCAGTCTTGTAGAGCATCTTAGATATGCTCAGCAGGTCTGAGTTTCAGAATATTTGTTAACTCAACAAATATAAAAGATTTCTTTCAAAATATTCTTCCAGCAGAGAGTTTTGATGAGTTTCAGATCTATGGATCAATGGGATTGTACTGGATTATTCGATTAAGAGAAAGAACACTAGGGCTATATCTCTAGGTGAAAATACACTTTCGCGAAGGTTTTCTAAGAGAAACTGGCTCATATTTAATCCCGTAAGCCAGTTCCTTGAGAACCTTAACATGAGGGGAAAAAACACGAAAAGTCCATGAAGCCTGCTCATTATCCTGGATTTGAACTTGGGTCGAAATACTAATGTTCAGCAATTTTACAATGGCTCACCAACGGCTGAGCGGTAACGACCAGCAGGAAAAACATTAATATATGCATAATACAGAGATTCCTGAAAAATATTTGCAAGAAACATAGAATTTCATCTACATTGACCGCATTTAAAATGTGTGTTATGAATATGAAATTCGGTGCAACCATTTCTCACAGTTCTTCCTCGGACAAGCGAACTGTTGTCATGAAAAGAATGCCATTACTGTATTCTTTCGCGGTTACAATATAGAAAGATGCTAATTCAGACTGTCTTCATACAAATGTGCATTGAGAATCAGTGTCTGAAATCCAAGTACAAATTCTTAACGTGCCAGTACGATTACAGTCAATTCTCCAGATAAAAATTCCTTGAGAATCTTAATCTGTCAGTGAAGATGACTTTAACTTAATGAATTGGGCTTCTGTTCCGATACAGTAGACACCAGCTTGATCACCAGACATTTTAAGAAGAAAAAGAGATACAAAGATACTGAAGAAAAGACACTGATTGCCTTTAATTCATGCAAATCATTTTTCTGCAACTTTCATTACGGAGTATTGTTGTGCTGATAACTATTGCAGTATCCGAGGAGTTAGGGACCTTGCAATTCCATCAAAAGTTCGTCTTGCTTTAGACAAAGATAGCGGTCTCCGAGTGCTCTAGTTGCATCTGCCGGAAAGATCGGCCCTTTTTGTTTCTGGAATATTTTGAGTTTACTGCCGCTAAGCATTTCCAATGAAAAGAAATGTCCATAACCTTAAGATTATTTTCTATAGAGTAAAAAGAATTTAGACCTGTTTGACAACAACTGATAGGTTTCCAGTTCTCCAATATCAAAACTAACATTCATCTTCATGATGCACTTCTGACATATTTAGTGATATTTAAATATCACTAAATATATCTGGGAATATATCACTAATTCATATCTAGGAATGATATGCCACTCCTCATCTGCATATAGTGTTAGTTAATATTATTCATATATATACTTCTGCAACATTCACAAAAGTTCTGCATTACATTGAAATTCAACTGTAGAGACATTAGGTTATTACGAAGCAGGAGACATGAAAATGAGCAATAACCTCGCCGGGACTTGAACCTGGGACCTCTTGAATACGCGCCGAGCGTGCTGACCATTACACCACGAAGGCATGTCAAGAAGGCGGGTGAAATACCTTTTACAACATTCAACTGTGACAGAGAGATATTCAATTTTATATGTTACTAGCGGAAGTACCCGATGCCAATTAAGTTAGATTGAGAGTAATGTATTATTTTACTCACGACATCATTTGAAAATTCGTATAATAGCATATTACATGTCATAAGGAATAGGATGCGTCATTGTAAGGCATAAAAATGCCAAAAAAACAAAATAATATTCAATACATGTACCACAGCAGACTTTGAGCGATATGGAACCCATATAAAAACACCGATAAAAAATAAATTAATTCTCTCTCATTATATCAACAATGGCACGCAGCCATTGTTGGTGATATATCACTATTGCCATTGCTGCTGATATCAGCTCTGTTGCCACTCCGAAAAATGAAGGCAAAAATTAGCGTTTTAAGCGTTTTTAATCAATATCTCTGATTTTAGCTATTATTGGTTTTAAAAAAAGTGGACGTCGACCTTTTCCAGGACCCAGAAAAGAATTGTAGAAAGTTTGGTGACGATAGTTAATAGTAGTGAGTGAGTTATTAGTCAACAAACAAACACACAGACTTTCTTCTTTATATATGTACGTTATGGATTATTTCTAAATCAGGGAATTTTATCTTCATCTTGGATGTTATGCCTTAACGTTATTGGACGATCGATGTAACTAAATTAATTCTTTGAGGTAATTATTCCTTCACCTAAAAACGCCCATACGTTGAGAAGAATTATTAAAATATATAAACTGATATGTTAACGGAAGAGGAACATAAGATATTTTAATGGAAATTATGCAGTCATCTGCATGAATCATTGTGCACATTGTCATTCGATGGTATACGCAAAAATAACCTGTAGGTGATTACAGGGAGCCTTTTCGCTCACTTGAATCTCCGTAAAACGTATTATCGTCATCAATGCGCAAAAAATGATGACATAAAGATGCTATGCTCATCTTTATAACAAAATGAAAACCATTGGAATGATGGATTTAGAGAGGTCATAGATAAAGTTTTGTATATAAATGATTCTCTCACGCTATGTAGTCTTCAGATTGAAAATGTTCCAAATGAAAATACTTTATGAGACAAATCATGTGATTTTAATCACATAATTACAGTCCTTTTGGCTGGACTCGTACTTGATATTAAATGCACAAAATACCAAGACACATCTCTGAAAACGTGATAGCCACTACGACCGGAAGTACTTCCATACAAACGGTTTATGAGAAACTAGGAAGATACAGCTTTTATGCAAGTGGTTTGCCCTGGTACACAATTTCACGCTTTCATAGTGAGATCTGATACTGGTCTCAGTCCACGAGCTAGTGTAATTTCCACTTATAAATTTAGACACAGACTGAAGACCAATTATCATAACATCATCATATTGAAAGAAAAAGGAGCTTTGCAACATCCTCTTTAACATCACTGAAAATGACCAGCTTGGAAGTGCTGGTTTGTTGGTGTATATCAGTAGGATGTTTACGAGCTCAAAGCTGGCAATCAATCTCCTTGCGTAAGCGAACATGCAGTTATCAAGCCTGCTTGTTTGTTTGAGTGAGCATAACAGAGAGAGCTCCACGCACTGAACCCAAGTTCTTTTTCTGAACCGAAGTTCTTCTTCTGAAGTGGTGACAGACGAATAACTACGTTTAGGTTTAATATCTTGTTTTTATTCTCATTTTCCTTTAAAATAAATTTTTTTAGACCAAAGAGGGTAGCCCAGGTGGGCTATAAGTCTCAAAACAGTATTTTGTGACGTTTCACTATAAACGGTGAATTTCTTTTTAAATTGATGGCACCAAATATTATCGGCCTGTAT